GCAGTAGCAAATGTTAAGTTGGCAACCAGTGGACTAAACTAACCAACTGCATAAAGTAGTGAAAACTTACCCCACCACCTCCTCCACCTACAACAGTAAATTATCTTCACACCACTACTGACATAAATAAAGTGAATGTGAGTGATACATCCCAGAAGGACAACATTATTTCAGAGTAACAAGTAACAACTTTCCTACTTTAAGTACACTAATGTAACACTTTCTGCTCAGATTATTGTGCTTTTACTCAACTAAAGGATCACAGTTTTTCTTCCACCACTGGAATACAGATGTGGCTATCTCATTAACGCAACCTGTACCACCACCGCTTTTGCATTCAGATGGAGTGTGTCTAAAATGTATTTCACTGCATATGCTGCCTACTATTCCCTGCATACTATTAATCAACTTCTAATTGCTGGATTTAAGTTAGTTCCTTAACTTCTGGTCTCATGCAGACTGGAATAAAAGAAAAACTCACAATAAGACCCAGTGACACAAAGGGTTTTTTAGTGGTTCAACCTGGTTTTCTTGGAATTTTTCACCATGATTTTCTGGCTTTCCCTTAGCTGACAACATATTTGTTTTCATGGTGAGGATATGCAAATGATAAAAGACCAAGACAGAGACAAAAGAGACAAATAAAAATCACTGGAGCATTGTCATTTTTTTTTCAGCTCCATGTAAGTGTGATGCAGAAGACTGTGTGATCAAGTCATGAGGTCTGCTTGCTTGAGAAGACTTTATTTCTCTGCCTCAGAGAATGATATGAGCCATACCAACCCAAATTACATTTGTGATTTACATGGTGCAAACACGGGCACAAAATCAAAGCCTTCCACTGAATCATTTAGCATATTTTTTCTAGCTGCCAACCTTATGGGTAGTCAAACCTGTCTGCGTAAACGCCTTCATTTGTAATTTTTGCTGACACACACTGGAAAGTGCAGACCCAGTGACAGTCACTCTCTCATTAGCAGGTTTTTGGAGACTCCAGAGCCTGTGGGTGGCCTGGAACTGGAGAAAAGAGCTTTCGTTTTGCATCTACCTCTTCTTTCCATGGAGATTTGAAGTCTCAAGTCACCCTGAATCTACCCTTTCCAGCGTCTGTAGAGATTTTCTTTGCTGTTTATGTTTTCAAAAAATGTATCCAGTATTTCAGCAAACAGAAACCTTATCCAAACAAAGGCAAAGGTAGAGCTGAGTTATTACGTTCCATCAAAAGCACATGTGGAAAAAAGGGACTGGACACTTGCTATATTGAAAGCACAACCTTTGGAAAGGGCGATGCACAGGGTTGGTGCTGAATGCGCTGCTGCTTTTTACTTTCAAGGAATGTGAGAAAATGATTTGCGGTGTCTGTTACCACCTTAAATTGAAAAATGTAGTCAAATATCCATAAAAATGGGCACATATTATGGAAAAGTTTTTAGTTTTTTTTAAGCTAAAGTTTTCATAATTTTTATTGTTATTATAAGAATAATACTAAGTTATAACAGCAGAAGAAGACAGCAAGTATACCTTTGAGATTCTACACTTTTTTTTTTTACTTCAAAGAAATATGCATAGTGAACATCTGGTTAACACATTTACATAACTGGTCACTCCCAAATGTTTCCACAGCTAATGACTGAGGGAAAAACTGTACATGACTGAATATTATTTATTAATTTTCAAAGAAGACTAATCAAGTTCAGCAGCTAATTTACAATTACGCACACGGACCAGATGTTTATGAATTTTTACTGAATAAATATGAGAAGAAGCGTTTATCTTGGATTGAGGACTGCATTTTAGTGTAAATGGATACTGACAGTAGAACTGGGAAATTTACTGCACAACACTTGTAAATCACAAATAATATTGTAGTTGATATATTGCAGCACTACATTCATAGGGCCACGTGAACCTAACATCTGGTTCAAACTGTCTGTAACAACTTGAACAAAACCCTCCAACTAGTTTGCATGGGATTATTGTTAAGACAGTTTTCAACACCTCTGACATCAGGCTTTTTAACATTTTTGTAAGTCATTTTGAAAAATGAAAAAAGTCCCTTGGCTAGTAAGTAGAAGTGCATTTTAGACTAAATGAGGCATACAGAAAAGAACAATAGCTCCAAAATGATGCTGCTGCATTTGAAGTTTTGCAAAGTCTACATCTCCTGTTAGAGATGATGGAAAAAACATGTTGCTTGGGAACGGTCAAAAAGGATTGTACAATTATGTTCTTGAAATTGTGAGTATTGTTTCAAAGTAGCCTCTTAAAGAGCTTTCATCACATGTTGGCACTTTGAAGTGGTAAAAACAGTGATCACATCTAGAAATGTCAGTATTATTTTCTATATCTCTTTTTTAACCCTTGTGTACACAGAACATGCTATAAAGATGTTGGCTTGATGTAATCAAACATATGCTGCACATTTTTGCTGTATTTCTTTGAGCATATCAAAGACTTTTGTCTAAAGTTAACATCTGCAAAGCATCAGCCTATAATGGCTTTTATGAAGTCTTATTTGTACTTCTGAAAAAAAGCACAGTGGTGCTTGTACAGGACAGGTTTTACTCATAAAAGACAACTGTAGTCACTTTCATAGCACGTTCACAGAAAGTTTTCCTAACACGCTATCCCATCATGTCAGAAAGTAAGTACACCCTGTGATACAATAGTTTTTAGAACCACCTTTATCTTCAATAAGTTTATCAGTCGTTCACTTTGTTATGGAGGAATTTTGACCAATTCTCATTTTATAACATTGCTTCACTTCACTGAGGTTTGTGGGCATTTATTTATTCATTCATTTCACTCAGACTGTGGTTTTGACTTTGACCAGGTCATTGCAACACCTTGATTCTTTGTTTTTCAGCCATTCTGTTATAGATTTGCTGCTGTGATTTGGATCGCTGTCCTGTTGCACAGCCTTAATTCAACCAAGCTTTAGATATCAAATGGCCTGACATTTGACTCTAGAAACCTTTTGAATACAGAAGAGCTCATGATCAAGACAATGACTGCAAGGTGCCCAGATCTTGTGGCTACAAAACAAGCCCAAATTATGACCTCTCCACCACAATGGTTGACAGTTGGTATAAGGTGTTTGTGCTGATATGCTTTGTTTTGCTTTCACCAAACATGCGCTGTGCATTATGGTCAAACATCTCAACTTTGGTTTTGTTCGCCCACAGCATATTGTTCCAGAAGTCTTGTGGTTTGGTCAGAAGCAACTATTGCAAACTAAAGTTGTTCTGCTACATTACTTTTGGGGAGAAGAGAATTCTTGCCGGCAACCCATTTTAGATCTTTTTATTGTTTTTAACGGATGGATGTATAGATGGTATTGAATAGGTCTGACCTTTCAATTCAATTTATTTACATACAATTCAAGTGTATTTATATAGCACCAAATCACAAAGGCAGTCATCTTAAATCCCTTTGTAAGGTTAAAAAATAAATAAATTAAAAAAATAAAATAATACAGAGAAAACCCCAACAATCAAAAGACCCGCTTTGAGCAAACACTGGGTGACAGTGGGAAGGAAAAACTTCCTTTTAACAGGATGAAACCTCTGGCAGAACCAAGGCTCAAGGAGAGGCAGCCATCTGCTGTGACCTGTTGGGGGTGAGGGGAGGAAGACAGGACAAAGACATGCTGAGGAAGACAGCCAGAAATTAATAATAACTATTGATTAAATCAAATGGTGTATAAAACATTCAGCGTGAAAACAGGTAAAGGAAGAAGGAATACTCTGTGCATCATGGCAAACCCCCAGCAGCCTAGACCTAATGCAGTATAATTAGGGGAATGTTTAGTTAGGGGCCAATCCAGCTCCTAACTATATGCTTTATCAAAAAGGAAAGTGTTAAGACTAATCTTGAAAATAGAGAGGGTGTCTGTCTCACAAATCCAAACTGTCAGTATCAGCATTTAGGACAAAGTGATAACAGTATTCCAATAGTCCAGCTTATAAGTAATAAATGTGTGAACCAGTTTTTCAGAGTTACTTTGAGACAGGATATTTCTAATTTTAGAGATGTTGTGCAAATGCAAGAAAGCAGTCCTACATATTCTTTTTAACTTGTACATTGAAGGGCATATCCTGGTCAAGAAAGACTCCAAGATTCCCTACAGTGTTACTGTGGGAGTCTGTTACATATCATTTAAACTACTGGAGCGCAGCCTTTAATTCCTGGAGTATGCTCTAAGAATTAAAGCTACTTCTCATCAGCTGGGATTTCCTCTCCTAAGAAAGCCATGACATTGTATTTGCTGTTCTGAATGCTACAAGCTAGCAAACTGCCAAAACATATGCATTCATAGAGGTGCCCAAACTTGCTGATGATCAATTAATAAAGATCAATTAATGAAGTACATTTGATTATCAGCTATCGTTATTTTATGTTCTCGTTTTGCACCAATAAATAATTTTCCTTTTTTAATTTCCTAGATTCGTTTTTATTTTCGGTATATGTTGCTAGTCACTATTAAATTGATAAGACTTAAAACTTTTTTTTTTTTTTGTTTACATTTGTAATAGTTTGGTTTCAAATTATATAAGAGGAAACGACATGCCAAAACTCACCCCCTCCAAAGATTGCTATCAGTGTAACAAAGCAAACATTTCAAAGGTTTATGCATGAAGATATTTGAAAGACCATTTATTTAACACAGATTATTTTAACAACAGCGAATGTAAAATAACTTTTAATAATAAATATAACTTTGCTTTTATTTATAAAAATAAAATAATGTCCACACCTTTAATATCTAAAGTAAGATTTTCAGGGGCAAAGCCTGAATAAATTGGAGGGTCATGTCAGGAAGTGCATTCAGCATCTTTGCCAGATCAAATATCCGTTGGCTGTCCCAACCCCTCGGGGAAAGGGTTTTTTTTTTTTAGCTATCAAAATGCATTATACGGTGTTTAATTTCCTGTTGTCATTGTAAGAATTCAGCATAAGAAGCAACGCGATAAGCAAAAACAAGGCCCGTGTACTAGGAATACAAAATACATTCTTTTATTAATTCATCTTTGTAAATACATGAAACAGATCAATGCAGTGAATTCACAGAAACATCATTTCGTTGGATGCAAATCTTGAAACCATTTACACACAATTTACACAACACATTTTGGAATTTGATGCTCCCTATTTTAGGAACCATCCTTTTGATGCATTCAGTTTGTGATATCAGTCCATTCTATCTAAGCCTTTACCCCTTATCTACACCCACAACGTTTATCGATTTCAGTCTATCCAACTGTGCTTGTTTCTTCTGACATTACTCTTCTCACCTAGATCATTTTGCTATAACTTTTAGGATTCCTTTGTTATTATATGTACATGATATACATTGGTTCTTAAATACATTTGCTTTGCTTCCAGTCTATTTACAATATTAGAGCTTATTGATATTTTAATGGTTACAAAATATATGTACTTGATGCTCTAAAAAATGTCTTAAAGCGAAAGGAGGCAAATGTTATATTGATTTGTAGGTAATGAGTGGTTATTTAAAGCACTGACACCAGGGGAGAAAAAGCATTGCTTCACATCCATTACACCATAAAACTCAATATTTCATCAAAAGAAAGTATGCAGTCATATTTTAAAAGCAGAAAACTAAAGAGGGCTGTGTGCCATCAACAAGCCATTCGTTTTAACTGCAGTTCTCTTTAAAAACATGGGATTTGTGGAGCATTTTTGTAAATCTAATCAATCCTCTCACATCTCCATTTCTACTGGCTTTCTAAAGGGAAAAATTGCGACTCCAACATATCCCTGAATCCCGTTTGTATGATTTGAAAAGCAGAACCATTCCGGTATTGAAACCACCAAGTCTGCAGCAAAGGACTACCTCAGTGCAAACAGTTTTAACCCGCACAGTTGTATCACAATAGATTACAGCTGTATCCTACATCAAACAAGATTCCCACAATGAATACAATACTTTATCTCTCTTCTTGTGGCTAAAAATAGGGCAACAAGCGAATGCCCCAGACGAAACTCATCATTCCAAAGCAAATGTTCTTTGTGTCTTTGGTGTAAGAGGCACACACACACATCAGCGAATGTATATTTGTTCTTTGGACATTGTTGCTGGTTGTAAATGCTTTGCGTAGCAAAAGCTGGGTTCGATCTTAAAATAAGTACTAAAGTTGGCAAACAGACAGTATAACATGCCAAAATTCTGATCCTATGAGTGTCACATGCAACATTATTTAAAGCTAACTGACTTCAGAGTTTGGTAGAGCATGTACTATTCAGTAAAAATATGGCTTTTGTGTTAATAGTCCTTCGGCTTCGAATATCATAAGCTGGAGGTTTAAGGAAAGACTGCTATGACTGTTACTTCTATCTACAAAAAGTCCACACCTATCACAGCATCAGCTGACAAACTCTGTGGTTCCCTGATATTCATAAGAATGTGTAAAAGGTTGGTTTTTCTTTTGGGAGGGGATAGCATCCTATAAGCTCACTAATCTCTCAAAACCGTGAGTGTGTTCGTGTGTGTTCGTGTGTGTGCGTGTGTGTGCGTGTGTGTGCGTGTGTGTGAGGGTGCGTGGTTGTTATGTGGGGTGCAGGGATGGACCACTCACAGAGAACACATTAAAGCATTCCCATTTGCCCTCCGTTTGCAGAATAGCGAGCCTGAAGCCGCATCTGTTCTGTCTCTTGTCAGTCTCTGTCTTTTCCTTCTTTTCAGTACCGCCACAACACATCCTTAAAAAAAAAATCCCCTCACACATGGAGACGGAGGCCTTTAAGCCGACAACAGCTGCCTCCTGCTTCAGATCTTCTGGCACATGTGGAGTCTGGACTTGGACGAAGAGGTGGCGTCTTTCCACACCTTGCAGGAGAGGCCCTTGGCACAGTCACAGCGCTGGAAGAGTTCCAAGCCGTGAGTGCCTTTCTTCCTCTGCTTGGTGCACACTTCTCCCTGCCTCAGCACCGGTTTGCAGATTTTTGTCCAGAAATGGCGGGCGCAGCAGTAGCCGTCCGAGCAATCGGAAGAACGCAAGCACGGGTCACCCTCGTGACCTAGAGGAAGAAAGCAATAAAAATATATGAGCAGTGATAAACCGACAAACAATAAAATGCAAACTTTGCATTAAACTGGCATATTTGCACTTGGAAAAACATAAACCAAAAAAAAAAGCATGTTCACATATCAATGTTTAATACTGTTTTTAAATTGCAGGTCAACAGCAAAAAACAGCCATGTTTTGCTAATTAAACAAAAAATATCAACAGCTGACTGATTCAATATAATAATAATTTCCATATGTCTAAATATGTTTTTTTTTTAAACCCTCTTTTTAATAGGCTGTCTGTATATATCTAACACACTTGCCTGACTGAATCTTTATAGATCAACAATCGCTAGAATTGCGTGAAACACTTTTACTTGCAGGCCTGTGACACAGTTTACCAGAAGCCGCATTATCATCCAATCCAGTCATCCTGTTTCCCTGACAAACCCCACTTTGCTGACTAGTTATTCCATTATTCCATCAGTGTGATGGACTGCTAAGTCAGACTGTTTTCCACTGGTTTAACATCACTGAGTTTCTGGGTTGAGTTTATTCAAGTGGCAACCTGCACCAGCCTATTATAATGTAATAATGTGTAAGGAGAGCGGGTGAGTCAAGTACAAGTAAAACCAAATGGCCTCATTTATGGCAGATTTAAGTAGTGCTCTTATTTCCACGATCATTTTAGCATTGAAGCCTTGAGGGCGTATTTATAGTATAGTAATATAAGTGTCTTATTAAACAGATTACTATATTGATAATCCATTACTTGGCTTAAATCAGGTGACATGCTAAGAACAGGTCTCTGTGAGTTATTTGCCTTAATTATGCCAAAGTTGCATTTTGTGGATAAAACTGGTGTATCATGGAAGGTGTCCTATCAATGAGACTATTTGTATGGATTTAAGTAAGTGCAGAAACAGCAAAGGCATTGTGTTTTTTCTTTCCTTCTGGGATCTCCACGATTAGCTTGAGACACAGACACATGGGCAGAGGGGAAATGAGGGGCATATTTTGGTGCACTGCAATACCCATGAGTACTTTAGGGGTTTCTTAAAGTTGACAAGAAAACAATTCAGCAAGACCAGGATAGGAGAGGGACAGAGCAAATCTAATATTAGAGGAAAAACAATGATGATAAAGGATAATGTCTTGATATCACTCGGTTCATACTGGACATGCTTTGCTGTCAGATCTCACCTTTTAGAGAATGCTTGGCCTGTCCCTTTCCATTCTTCCCACCCTTCCAGCCGTGGTCTTTGGAGGAGAGCTTGATATGTTCATCTAATGGTGAGATGTGAGGCGAGATCACGCTTTCAGAGATGGGGACACAAATGACTGTAAAAACAGGAGAAACATATATAGTTAACAAAAACGCCAATGCTGCTTAGTTTTTCAGGAAAACATGGCACAGGCTGTTAAAGCTGAGCACATTAGCCTCTGTGAAAGGTCTCTTAAATGGATGCTTTCAGTGCATAATGCAAAGAACTCCTATATGTGTTAGTGAGCTATGTTGATTTTAAACAAAGAGCAGTTTCAGCGCAGCCTCTGCACACATTCACGCTATTCACACTACAACATGTGACCACTGATTCCTAACCTCTGGGCCTCAATTGAATACAGTTCAGCTATAGTTCAGGATTCTGTCTGAAAGCATGTGTTCAACATTATTTCAATATATTGGCTCTATAACTAAGACCCGCTTTTTCAAGAACATTTGAATAAAACCAGAAATCGAATTTTCACGATAGTGCCCCGCAGTCATAACGTAATTGAAACTGAAATGCGCTACAATCATGCATGTGTGTGTGTGTG